TTTTTGTATAGACCAATGCAAGTAGGTCAGGCGATCAAGTCCCCGTTTCACCACTATGTAATTCTTTCTCTGTTGATGAAAATGAAAAATGTTTGGTCAAAACCTCACAAATTACCAACTTGATGTAGGCAACCTCCTTCCAAAAAGAAGGCGTTCAAAATTGATTTATTATTAAATTGATTTCTATTGTGCAATTTTCCAATAAATCCTAAGCGGTGAAAGTAAACATCGTCAATACCAAACGTTTCCTCAGTAACAACATTATAGATGTTAAAAGAACTTGTTTAAAGGTTCATAACTTATCGCAAACAAACTGTTGGAAGAAGACCACACGCCCGCCCATCCATCATCCATTCAGTCCGCCCGTTTACCATTTCGCTAGACCAGACATCCATCCGTCGGTAATACGGTTATTAATCCTGCCCGTCCGACTGCCCCTCTATCACGACCTTATGCCGAGTCCGACGGACAGACGTGCAAGTGCATATTTTCAAATATATTCTACTAAGACTTTTTTTATTTTATATATACAAGGATGAAAAATGGTTGCATATACCTGAAGCGGGGTACTTATAAATTTAAGTTTCTTTCATGTGCATGTCTGTCTGTTTCCATCTGATCCACGCTTTCCTACAATGTTTAAATTGGCTTGAGTATGTCCCCAAAGTTCACTCGTTCCGTTGGCTGACAACGTTAGATTTTCAGTTTTTATGGACTTCTCCTTTTTTAAATTACCTTGGAGTTCGTTATTTTTGTTATACTTTATTCATTCGTACTGTTTCATTAAGGTTTGATGAACACAAAAATTGACCTTGACGATTGTTAGAAAGAGGAGTGAAAAGAGCACCCATTAATACGGATACTCCTCTCTTGCTTCTCTTGAAGAGGTTGTAGGATTTTCCAAGGAAAACTTTAACTATCTTTTATTGTTATGTCTTTTTTCAAGTTCTCGATCACAGTTAGAACATGCGTCCATGCTTGTACATGTATCATGTGACAAAAGCGCGGTAAAAGTCGTTAAAAATGGTGATAGATGCTAAAAGTGTACGCACTTATTTGAATGAGATTAAAACGAACTAAAAGTAACATCGAGTTTGATCTGAAAGAATAGCAGATTGTAGTAGCTGTATCAACCTTACATAAGAGGAATATTTGGCGTTGTTAGTCATATTAAATAAATCAAAATTTGGTGACTATGTTGAATGCATCTATCCCATCGAACTTGAGATAAAGGATACAACAGATACAGTTAAGCCTGCCTCATATCTTGACTTACATCAAGAGAAGCGAAGAATACCAAAGGGACACTCAAACCCACAAGTCGAAAATAAACTGACAACGCCATGGCTAAAAAGAAAAAGACAAACAAACAATAGTACATAAACAACAACATAGAAAACGAAAGACTGAGCAACACGAACATCACCAAAAACTTGGGGTGATCTCAGGTGCTCCGGAAGGGTAAACAGACCCTGCTCAACATGTGATACCCGTCGTGTTACTCTTGTAAAATACGTTGATAAGTTATATCAAGTGATTACACATCACGCTATAGCGGATTGGTAATAGACCCTTATCTAACCCCGAGACACTACCATATTCTAATCCATCGGTCATGTAAAATTGTCAAACCCTGAAACTTAACCGAATGCGAAATTTTAAAATTGAGACGTTTTTCAATACAAGGGATAGACGAGACTGGCACCAGCATAAACAACACAAACATTGAAAAATTAAAAATCACAAAGAACAACACTTATATAGGAAAGATAGATTACCTTAGCTGTATTTGGCAAAACTTTTAGGAATTTTTGGTCCTCAATGCTCTTCAACTCCGTACTTTATTTGGCCTTTTTAACTTTTTTTTATTCGAGCGTCATTGATGAGTCTTCTGTAGACAAAATTTCAATCCTGGTATCTATGATGAGTTTACTTATAACTAAAGCAAGCGCAACACGAACCCCTATACAACAAGACTAGGGATGATCTCATGTGCTCCGGAAGGGTAAGCAGATCTTGCTCCACATGTGGCACCGTCGTGTTGTTCATGTTAATACAAACTCGGTGATAAGTCTAATTCGGTAGGTCATATTCGGGAAAAGGGGACGGGATTGTAATTTCGACAATTGGAACATATCCGTTGTCATCTGTGAAAAGGATATTCCATAACGGTCAATCAACTCGTGATGTGGTCCGTAAAATTTAAGACAGAAATTTAGCCTTACAACAGGCCACCTCAAAGAGTTGTTCCAAAGGTTTTTAACGTGCAGAGAGCGTGGCACTCTCTCAACACGAGCATGGCATCGGATTTAACGTCCCCATTCTGACCAGACGTGGCTGCGAACTTCATACATCCTGCACATCCAAACGGACGCCTCATTTTGGCGAGGGTTTTATTGCCGGTCGGAGGAAGACCCATGGTGACCATATTTCTATTCCCCAGTCACCTTTTCTGGGGCTCTTATTTTGAAAGACATTTATCGCATTGCCCGCTCTCACAACTGGCAATTAATTTCTGTTTCGGTTGCAGGAGAATTGATTCACTCGCCTTATAATTAATGTATACCTTAAAGTCGGCACTTGGTTTGATGGTATAAAAGTCAACTGAAATTATTTTGAGAAGATTACATTAATTGTTTTATTGATGTTGTATGTGTTTCAATGTCGGATAGCTTGTGTTTCCTATGTTGTACAAACCCGACTTTAAATCTTACCGTTAAACTCGTATCATTCGCGCATTCTTAATCAGAATCGGCACATGTATAGGTGGCGCATTTGAAGTAAAATAGCGAGATGAAAATGTTTGTCGGCTGAGAATAGAAAGGATGAATTAGGAACATAATTTGGCAAAATAAATGCAGTCCGAGATTATTTACATTCATTTGAAGTTTACTATTATAGTTTTATTAGTCTTGGCAGTAGGTAATAAATTTTACGAGAAATTGAGATTTCCGCTTGTACAAAGTATTTGGCTTTACCCGGCCCTGGATTCAAATAAACGACCTTCTGAACTTGAGACTAGCACGCTTCCACGAGACTATCGATGCGGTTATGTTTATTGAGGATCAAGTATCTGTAATTTTGATGGCAAAATTTAAAAAGCCTATTATAATTAAGTTTTGCTTCCCTGGTAATGTTGTGGTCCTTCGACAGGAGTATTTGACTTTTTTAATCAATGTTAAGTTATGCGATTTTTAGAGGTACAAGTTTAGAAATCAGACTCGTGTCAGTCATTACATTTTGAAATTATTCGAGAAATGATTATTTGGTGAACTTTAGAACAAAAAGCACACACCAGAAATTAATTAATCACAGGCACATCGACTTCACCTTTTTTTTTAAATTTCATTTCTTATTTTACAATAAGGTGTCAGGATTCGAAGGATTCATGTGTTGTGTCTTGTGTGCTGTTTTTACGATTGGGTTTAAGAATATAGCAATCTATAGCATTTTTAAATCGAGAATATGAAATTATTGTTAATCTGGTAATGTCCGGTAAAACAAGCGTCTTCTTCCTCGAAATTAAATGTTCCCATTTTATAGATTGATCAAATTTAACCGCCTATCATATTTTTTAGTCGTTTAAAATCTCTATTTAATGCGTAAAAATTCAATTTTTTTTTTAGATACATCGTAATCAATGCACGGAAGCAATAAATTGCCAAATTGTTGATCGATGTTCGTGTATGAGAACAAATACAAAGGTTGAAAGGTGTTCACTGTGAACTGAAACTTGTACATCGTTGATTTGTGTTCATTACGAACTGTAAATTGTTTGGGTTGCACACCGATTTTTGGCAATATGCTGGACCTATAAACAACTGTCATGCACGTGGGGGGTTTAGCTACAATGTAGCTATAAAACCAGGTTTAACCCACCATTTTCTGCGGAAAATGCATGTACGGGCAAGTCAGGAATATAGCATTTATTTTTCACTTGTTCCGTTGATTGATAGCATTTGATTTTGTCAGTTTTTATTAACTTCCACTTTTTGAATTTGCCTTGGAGTTCGGTATTACTGATATACTTTTTTGTACATTTTTATTGGTGTTCATTGAGACCCGTAAATTGTACATCGTTGATTTGTGTGTAACGTAAACTGTACTTCGTTGATTTGTGTTCATTGCGAAACGTAAATTGAACATCTTTGATTGGTGTTCATTGCGAACCGTAAATTGTACATCGTTGATTTGTGTTCATTGCAAACCGTAAATTGTACATCGTTGATTTGTGTTTATTGCGAAACGTTAATTGTACATCGTTGATTGGTGCTCATTGCGAACCGTAAATTGTACATCGTTGATGTGTTTATTGCAAACCGTAAATTGTACGTCGTTAAATGGTGTTCACTGCGAAGTATAAGTTGTGCATCTCTGGTTGGTGTTCATTGAGAACCAAAAATAATATTTCGTTGATTGGTGTTAATTGTAGATTTATTAGTTCGGAAAGAACACCGGGCTTTTCAACCAATTTATTAGTTTGTGTAAAACGTTAACGCATAAACCCCTAATATAACTTATCAACGTTTTTTATATGAGTAACACAATGGGTTTCACTAGAGGATCAGGATATACTTACCCTTCCGAAGCACCTGAGGTCATCCCCTTTTTTATGGCTGGATTCGTGTTGCTCAGTCATTAATTTTCGGTGTTGTATTCAATGAACTTGTTTGTCTTTTCGTCATCTTTCGTTTGTTGCAATGTCGAAGTCAGATTTTTTTTGAATTTTCCTTTGGTATCTTCCATCTCTCTTAAAACAGTGATTTCTAGGTTCGCATTTCCCCTGCATTGAACCCCGATTAAATGAGTCATCTCAGTTATGTTCAATTACCCGATTTCGTATTGTTCCACATGAATTTGCTCAAAAAGACACTCGTATTATTAGAATAAATACATGTATTAAGCTGTTGAAAGCTATTACTGTAATATTGGTGATTTGGTCAAATTATGTCGACAATTTACATGTAATTTGTTATATAGTATAAAAATAAAGACTATGAATAATATTCATTTCAGTACGCTGATTGTCTAATGTGGTAAGCTTATTTTATTTGCTATTTCTTATTTATAATCTGTAAAATACAAATGTGACAAAATTTTTTTGTTCTAACGCCCCATTAATTTTCTGACAGTTCTACCCTCGGACAATTTTGGACAGTTCTATCCGAGAACCCATTTGAACAGTTCTTCGCTAGATCTGATTCTGACAGTACTCTCACTAGAATTGTTTTGGACAGCTCTATTTATAAGTTCGTTCTACCTTTCCGTGAAATGATCTTTTGATTTGTGTTCTGACGTTTTTTTTTTCGGCCACCACTTTTGATTCTAAAATGTTACCTTAGTTTCGAAAAATGTCGATACGATATTTGTTATCGAACACTTATTTCGTTTAAATTTATAAGCGTCAAATCCTTTTTTGAGTTTTAAATGATATGTTGGTTTAACTCATAAACCTCAAGTCCAAAAAACTTAGAATCTTTTGATATGAGGTCCTTTGGCCACAATTAGGAAAATGTCTCAAGAAAAAGTAAAAGATATATGATATACATTACATGTATATATATAATCAACAAATCAGCTTAAAATAAAAAGTAGATTTAATATCTTTACCGATGTATTCAATTGTTCCATTTATAATCCAGTTTTATGTGGTAACATCGGTCTATTTTACTAAGTGCTAGTCGTTCAACTGCTTCTGTCAGACAAAGGCTAAGGTCAAAGGTCAAGGTCATGTTCTACATTATGTATTTTGCTTGTTATCGCAATTCCTCAGAAGGCATACAAGTTATAAGCATAATGTTTTTGCAAATTGTAAGTTAAGACTGGACGCAACGCCAATACATTTGGGTCGAAGTGCTCTGGTGATTTTTTACAGGTGTTTTCTCCCCTTAAATATTCAAAATACTATTCGGTTTGATAACTTCTTTTACTCATACTTATTAAAGACTTCGGATCCTTTGATTTGGGATTCCTGATATTTGACCATTTAATGTCAATTTGACGTTCTAGATTTTGACAATTGCTATTACTTCCGTTGGTAGATATACCGGGTAGTCTAACGTTGATTTTGTCCGTTTTTATGGAACTCTCTCTTTTTGAATTTACCTTGGAGTTAGGTATTTTTGTTAATACTTGTTTTCAAACGGGATTTAGAACTATGTTAGGGAAAACGATAAGTTAAGGGGCGGAGATAATAACATCGCTGACGTAAAATATTTTTCAGTTTTCTCGACATATTTGGAAAAAAAGATTTATTTTTTCCACTGATTTTATTCATTTACTTGAAAGCGGGTACACAGACTACTTGTTTAAAATGGTAGTTTGGCTTAATTGAGTTCGAAGATTATTCGTGTTAATTTTTCATGGATAATTTTTTTTTTAAATTAGATAAATATACAGCAAAAAAGACGAAAAATTTAATATATTTGAAATATTTCCAAAGAATTATTACACATATTTAGAGCATACTTATGTAAAGAGGATATTCCAAATGTTTTTTTTCAAAACAACGCTTGTGTTTATGTTTTAAAACAAAAAGTTAGGTATATCTAACTTTCGAATAAATATCTTGAAAAATTCGGCCCTATTTATCTCTTAAAGTAGAGTACAAGAAGGTAAACTATTTTTATAACTTATTTTAAGTGATGAGGTAAAAAATAGCTTGTGTGCTTGTATGCAAATTTTCGCAAATACTACCCGTGGTATCAAAACTATATAGCAAACATGAATGCCCTTAATTCTTGATCTTGAATGTGTCCTACAAAGAAAAACAAGTTTACTCCCCCTGACTACCTCGAAGACTAGAACTGTTTGAAATCATAATCAAACAGCGACCTTTTTTTACGTCATTTCGAACTGTTCTACTCCTGACGGATCTACCCTAGAACCGATTTGGATAGTTATAACGTCGAACAGACCCTGCCAGTTTTAAATTAGAACAGTGTTTGACAGTTCTATGACAGATTATTCTGACATTTCCGAAGGTTAGAACTGATCCAAATTGTATCTATCTGTCAGTGATTTATGATTTTATTGGTTCTTATCCTGAATATGCATCAATAAATGTCCAATGAACGTTACACAATCATTCTTAGTTTCTATGATATTTCATATTAAACAAGGCTGCTATCCTTCATTTTCATATTGATAAAATTGAGAATGGAAATGGGGAATGTGTCAAAGAGACAACAACCCGACCATAGACCAGACAACAGCAGAAGGTCACCATTAGGTCTTCAATGCAGCGAGAAATTCCCGCACCCGGAGGCGTCCTTCAGCTGGCCCCTAAACAAATATATATACTAGTTCAGTGATAACGAGACTATTCTTAATCTACTATAGGTCATTTAGGTCTTAACATATAAACAAAACTGCTCCGTGTTTAAAATACGTCGATCTTAAAATAACTTTTTCCATATGATGTTTTAACTACAATTAGATTGCAAAAACTAATGAGGAGGAGGTGGGCGGGAAGTCATGTTATTAATATGTATTATTTTTCTTTTATCATAGATAGTCACACGAAGTAAGAATGGATTCGGATTATATTCGGTATTTCGACATCTCGAATCATTCCATCATCACTGAATTCTTAAATGGTTTAAATTTTACCTCAGATGTGTACACCACAGATGTAAATGAATACCATATAATAACACAACAGTTTTCTATAGTATTTGCAATACTTGTTGCAGCCATCATCTTTTCCAATTTTCTAGTTATTATTTTAATTATCTTAAAAAAACTGAGGAAGGACTTATTCTATTGGAAAGTAATAATTTTATCTGTAGGAGATTTGATAGTCTGTACAACTTTACCATTTGTACATATAATACCGTATGATGATTGGTGGAAAAGCGACACAACTTGCAGAATGGTACTCAATATGTCCCTGGTATATTATTTATTTAGTGGATTGGCTTTGGTAACTTTATGTTTTGATTTTCCCATCAATCTATTTTCAACCTACTTTAGACTACGCCGTATTTTTCATCGAAGTATCCATGGGCTATTTATGGTTTTGCCTTTTTTCCTAACGTATGCTGTTGCATTACCAATAATAATTCAATATGGAACAAAAGTGGAAATGAGAGAATCTGCTGATCACAAAAAAATATGCGTTGATACAATAAATGAAGCCCATCCCCATCCATCTATTCCTGTTGAAACACTGGCTGCTGTCATTAGTTTTCCGTCACTAATGATTATGATTGCCTCTGTTGTGATGCATAAAAGGTTAAGTAAACAAGTGAGCACGCCAGCACCTTTAAACAGAATCAACCCGTCAACGAATTTGGAAAATTTAAACCCATGCGGTATGGCCGAAAAAAAGATATCAGATCAACGGGGCGAACACATCGGAGGGGAAAGCGAACCAGTGTTTTCTTCTGCTAGCGAAGACGAGATATTATCATCTTCATATGCTGTTATTGCGATAACAACTTTCAGCATAATATGTTATGTTCCCCTTGTTGTTTGGGTTAACAGAACGGAAAGGGATTATAATCAGGATGACATATATACATACCTGATAACACATTATGTCATTATTACTATTTCTCTGATACCAGCTGCAGTTAGATCATATATGTGGTTGATTGATACAAATGTGAGGAAAGCTGTCTTCGCAACTTTAAACGGGTGTGGTTTCATTTTGTAATGTTCGACATTACAGCTACATAAGAATGACACTTTATATCCGTATATATTTGATATGCATGCTAAATACTAGAAGCAAATAGTTTCTTTACATGTACTTTTATGCAGAAATATATAACTATGTGTGTGTGTGTGTGTGTTTTTTAATATGTGTTTTACAAGACCAATCGGAAAAATATAAATAAGAAGATATGGTATGAGTGCCATTGAGACAACTCTCCATCCAAGTCACAATGTATTAAAAGTTAACAATTATAGGTCAAAGTACGGCCTTTAAGACGGAGCTTTCAAATTTAGTTCACATCGAACAGCAAGCTATAAAAGGCCCCATAATGACTAGTGTAAAACAATTCAAACAGGAAAACCAACGGTCTAATCAATATAAAAAAAAACGAGAAACACCTGTTTCTCTGTCTGAAAGTCTGAAATTCTCTTATAGTCAATTCTCCCCAGACAAGATAAAGGTATATGATTTATTCTACATGTATATCTATAATCAACAAATGAGCTAATATTAGAAATGGAGATTTAGATCTTTCCCTCTGTATTCATTTGATATAATTCAGTTTCATACTGTAACGTCGGTCTATTTTACTAGTGCTAGTCGTTTAATAGCTTCTGTCGGACACAAGGCTCATTACCGAACTAAGCTCTATTAAGATGAATCATCACTTTATGTTTCCTAAGGTAGCCAAAATGTAGATTTTACCATGCTTTTTTCAATAATGAAATAAAAAGTATGGGTCGCCGTAATATTTTTCAAGCTCATGCAATATTGCCCAGTTTTACATAGATCATTCATGAAAACACTATTTGGATTATAAATAGAAATCCATAAAATATAATTTTGAAATAAAATATGTAGAAGCCAGGTTTTATGTTTAGACTTATATTGTGTGAATTCTTACAGATCTGGGATTTTTTTTCTGATTCAAACCGCCCCTAGTCTTGGTAGTATCACAGTGCCACTGAAGTTTGGCTTTGATTGCTGAAAAAAATAGTAATAATTTGGAAAGAGGCTTCGTGGTCTTGATGCATTTAGTAGACCCTGCTTTTTAACGTTAACTTTGTTTTTAAGGACATGCATGTAATTTGGTATCAAGTACAGTAAAGGAAGACCTGTTCTTCATTTATGGTTGAAATTCCAAAGGAACATATAACAGACTTTTTGTTGTTCTGGATTTCTTCCTTTGTTAGTATCAAGAAGTATATTGAGGTTTCAAATGAATTGTCAATACATCATTCCTTCATCAATAAGTTAATTAAATTGTTTGTGTAATGTTATTTACAAACAAAAACTGTGTATGGGGTTTTGTCTGAGGGTACACCAAAACATTTGTCATAGAGGAAGGACAGTTATTTGGTTCAGCAAATAGATTTACCGGGATGAAGTGTGGGGATTTCGAACGTCAATGGAACATAAAAGTATTTTGGATAGAAGCAGACATTTTGCTTTTGAAACAGACCTACATACCCGTCGAATAGGTGTTTCGATGAACATTGGCAGCGTGGCACTCTCCCTACACGAAGTGTCCGTTCCTGTTCCTTTCAGCTAAACAGACGTATCGGTTTTCCTGCAGGGTGGGAGAAGTCATAGGATGACCAAATTCCTACACGTACCCCAGTCAACGTTTGGCATGAAGGAAGTTGATTGATTGTTGGATGCTTAACTACCAGTTGCAAACATTTCATGCATGTTCAGGACGAGAACACTAGGTATTCATGTAATAGAGGCAGTCTGGGATGAAGGTCGTTGAAAATTGGACTGCCACTGGAAAATGAGGGTATAGTAAGTAAGGACAGGAATTTTGCCTTCAAAGAGGCCCCATACGGACGGAACACTCAAAGAGTTGTTGCAAGAGTTCTTAACTTGCAGAGAGCGTGGCAATCTTTCTACACGAGGCACTGGATTTTACGTCCCCATTCTGACCGGACGTAACTACGTACTTATACTTCCCGCACAACCAAACGGACGACCCACTTCGGCAAAATTTACTGCTGGTCGGAAGAAAACAAATAATGATTATACATCTATTCCCCAGTCACCCTTGAGGGTTGTATGATCGAGTTTGTGTACTGTTCTTACTAGCCTTCATCAGATGGTATTGATGTTCTTTACCAGGCTAACAAGATAATATTTTTCCTTTTGGTATGCTGATCGCGCTTGAGATGTATTCCTTCAAGTTGTTATTCCCTATAGTAATGTATCCAAGAAAAAAGATAATCAATCAATGAGTCTGTCAGTCAAACGAGTATATTTTGGTGTGTTCTTATTCAAATTTAAATTTGTTTATTTCAAAAACAAAACTCGTTTAACATATATATATTTGGTTTGTCCTATTTTGTCTCTAAAGAGAGAATATAAAATAAGGAGATGTGGCATGATTTGTCAATGAGACAACTGTCCACCGGAATTCAAAATGACGTAGATTAACGAACTACTGGTCACCGTGCGGCCTTCAGTAATGAGCAAAACCCATACCGCATAGCAAGCTATAAAAGGCCTCAACATGACAAAATGTAAACAATTCAAACACGACAATATACGGCCTGATCTATGAATATACGAATTTATGTATGCATTTAATCGCAATCATGGTAATAGCCACTCACACAACTACATTGAATCATATGGAAATTGTTTGTCAAATTATATATAAGCAAAATGGTAAAATGGTAGCAATTTTGAAGACTGATTCACATTGTTCAACGTTAATTATGTTGCTAATTATATATAACTAAAAACCATTTCTAAAATAGAAAAATCATTTTTTTTCTTTTAATAAATGTCAACCATCATTATATAAACTGCGCCAGGACAGAATTGGGTCTATTAAATACCATTGCAGATCGACATGTTTGGCTTCCTTGTCACATACTTTCATTGATTACAAAGTTTAAATAAAATGATAATTCGAAAATCAGTAAAAATGACATTTTTAATGTAGGTATAATGTAAGTAGTGTTTCGTCCAGCAGAAATTTGACTTTTAAATCTGTATGTAATATACATATGGTAATTGAAAAATTTCTTTCATGGAATAAACACCATCATGGATCGATCCATACTCCAAGTCATAAATAAAAAAAAAAAAAAAACAACACACCGAAATGTAATCAGTAAACACTTGCATAAAAAATCTTTAAGGTTGAAGAAGTCTAGTCTTTAGACAAAACACAAATGCTTTGAATCTACACCACCAGTACTATGATGTTGGTATTTGAATAAGGTAAACCTAATTATTTGCAGTCTATATAGATACGAAGATGCTTGATATTAAATAGCAAGTCAATAATGTTTTCATGTCATTCATCTATTTATTATTTCCAACAACTTGCAATGCAACTAATTAACAAATAATTTTTAAAAAGTTACTGAATTTTACCAGTTTAATCTATCACTTTATTTCTATTTTACGCAAATTTCTTGTGTATTTTATAGTTAAATCCTGATCATTGTAACCATGACTGCTGTAAGTTTCTTGAACGCAAAATTAAGCTAGACGACACTTTGTATCTTAAACAGTAATTCACAACTACGTATTATCTACAACAGTCGTATTATGCCATCCAAACAATATATTAATTTTTAAAAATGTTCGTTAAATATTTCTCTCTTTGGACGAGGAGATGCATAGTACCCACAGGAATAGATTACCTAAGCTGTATTTGACAAAACCTTTCTGAATTTTGGGTCCTCAATGATCTTCAACTTCGTGCTTTATTTGGCCCTTTTAAATTGATTCGAGTGTCATTGGTGAGTCTTTTGTAGACGAAACGCGTGCCTGGCATACAAAATTTAAATCTTGGTATTTATGATGAGTTTATTTATAGTAGTCATTCAACGATGAACATTTTCCGATATTTTTTTAAATTGTTTGATCATACATACTATATGGAAGTAAAGAAGAAATATGTGATTTGTTAAGCGTTTATACCACACTTTTAACTTCCTTCGTGCTTAGACACACACATTGAAGAGGTGTATACAAATGGCCAACTGGTCTTAACCAGTCCAGCAGTAAAAAGCGGGTGGGTAGGCTTCGGTGTGAAATAGAAGACCCATGGAAGGCAGAACGTCTTCCACTATCAAACGTACTTTTTTCCAAATGCAGTTTAAACGTCCCCTCTCCCTCTATTTTTACATTCTACATTTAATGAATTTATTTTTGTTTCACACTGGTCATTTTGGGCTCTGTATATCCTACATTGTGGTACGGTGCGATCCTAGACTCCATGCAGAAGGACGTACTGTGACCTATGATTGTTAACATCAACAACATTTGGTCTGCTTCAGAGTCCATTTTTTTTGTACCCATTGAAATTGAAACGTCATTTTTTTTTTAAAGTGATCTTGACAAATAACAGTATTGCTATTCATAGAAAATCCGTCCCTTCCATCTCTTCGTTTAATCAAGGTACACCATCTATCCTTCTGCTTTTTTTCTGAAAGAACAGCTTTAGGTATACGAAAAAAGTGTAATCCTGATGGAATTCTATTTTGAAGGAAGGCAAAATTAAAGCACCCATAAACAGAACATTGCTTTCCTCTAGATTTCTTTCCAGTTGAAACTCTGTTTGTTTTATCCATTTTACTGCTAAAACACTGGAAACTACAACATGGAAAACTAAGATAAAAATGGTGTATTCATATTTAAGATTGTGTATAAAGTAACATATTACATGATGTAACTCACTACATGTGCATGTACAAAAATGTAATATTTTGAAATATTGCTCTTAGGCTTAATATACAAGATAGGTATCTGTGCATTTTAAATGTTCATATGTATTTAAAATTTCTTTCAATAAGAAAATTAACATACAATATTTCAAACAAAATGAACGTGATGTTGAAGTTTTGGAACTCAAGCAGTCACAGTCGACATGGAGCACATCAACATACATGTAACACTAACACCCAACTACTCAAAAAGGAAATTTATACAAGTTTCCGTACTCTAGCATAAGTATTTTGAATTAGATTTTTCGTTTCCAAAGTCGAGTATTGTTAATTGTTATTGTATTTGCGACAGAATGTAATGACCTGTACAAATATTGGCCTAAAAATTTATGACTTTATCCATGTCATGTAAATATCTACGATTTTATCGCCTAATTTCACAACAA